CACTAATCAAAACAAAGAGAAATTGTTTCCTTCAAGGCCAGACCTGCATAACCATCTCACTGCTATCCCATGCATTATCAATAAGTGATTGTAAGGGACATAACAGATATCTACAAAGACAGAATGGAGGATAACAAAAAATAACAATCAAATCCCGCTATGACACTGCAAAAAGGGCTTAAACAATGTGAAAACAGAACTTTATTTCGCTAAATCAGCAAAGCCGTTAGTTAATATACGGACAAACAACAACAACATACTCAACGCAATCCCACAAGAGGGGCCTGGGGAGGGTGGTGTGTACGCAACCTTGTCCTACCTTGCAAAGGTAGAGAGGCTATTTCCAATAGACCATCAATTCAAGTAAAGAATATCATAAGCAAGTATGGAAAAGAAACACATTAGTAAAGAAGTCATGTTAAAAATAAAGGAGAAGAGAACAGTAGCAACATCGGATAATATGATAACTGAACCAAAAGTGTTAAAGAACGACAAAAGTTCCACATTGGTGGTTAACAAGATGGGTGACCTCCTTAAAAGGCTTGACAATCCTTCTCCCTTTGAGCTAGCTTTTGGGGTGAAAGATGATATCAAACCAGGATCATGTTAAACACGGGGCGTGAGGTGGAGTGTTAAAGAATGACAAAGGTCCCACATTGGTGGTTAATGAGATGGGTGGACTTCTTACCTGATCTTTTTTCATGGACCAAGCACGTGGAAATTCTTTTTAGTTTGGGAGGAGGTGAGATTCGATCCCGAAACCTCTGTCTGCTCTGATACCATGTTTAAATGTGTAATCATTTCATCTAAAAGTTTAAGCTGTTAGAGAGAACACATTTTTATTAGTTAATGATATTTTTCAACAAATAGAAATAAATAATAATAAAATTGAAGGACAAGACAATATGAGAGTAATAAGAACAATGCAGAAAAGGGAAACTAGATGACCCTCGATTACTTACCAACCTTCTACCCTAATCTTTGACTTCATATCCTCATATCTAGGAGTATGTCCTCAGCAAGCTATATGTGTATCATATCGTGTCTATCACATCTCCTCAATACTTCTTCGACGTACCTTTATGTCCCCTCATACCCACCAAAGCCAACCTTCCACACCTACTCACTGAAGCATATGTGTTTCTTTTCTTCATGTGTCCTAACTATCTCAGTCTCACTTCCCTCATAGTGTGCCAAATATCCTCGTTCCTAATCTTACCTCTTAAGGGTCATTTGATAGAATTACATAGTGTATCAACAAAAATAATGTATGCATTAGCTCTGTGTATTAGTAATACATTGTTTAGTACACTTTTTTATGCTATGTATAATTAATGCTTAAGTGTGGGGAAGTGTGTTGGATGATAGTTAGGGGTCATTTGGTTTGAATACAAGTTATGATGAAATTAGTTATGATAGGATAAGTTATGTTGGGATTAGTTATGCTGAGATTATTTCTTATTAAGTGTTCGATTTGTTGTATTCAAAATAATATGCATTGCATAAATTTTAAAAACAAGTTGTTTGTTTACAAAAATATTCTTCACTTTATTAGTTTTTTTTTATGTTTTAGTTATTCATTCTTTAAAAAATCATCTTAGTTAGTTTAAATATTTTTGTGTGCGAATTTTAAATTAAAATTTTCTTCTTATTTAGCTTAAAAATAGAATTTCCATCTTAAATTTGTTAAAGTACAAGAGAGTTTATGAGAAATCAAAATATAAATAAACATAAGAATTAGTTAAATAAATTCAAAAAAAAATATTATATTTATATACTATCATTTTTAATAGAAAAATATGAAGAATTATCATAAAAATAAGAAATAGTGGAGGTTGAATGTTATTATATATGATGTTAAAAATAATGTAAATATACATGAAGGTGAAAAGTGATGTATAACAAGGATTTAAAGGGATATCTTTGTCATTTACCTATTTTATCTCGGGATAAGTTATTCCATGATTACTATGCCACCCAAGGGGAGGGATAGCTTATCTAGGTATTAATTATTAATCCCGGAATAAGTTATCCCGAACTTGCCAACAAAATAACAAATTAAATGGCACTATAATTAGTCTCAGGATTACTTGGTGTTATCCTTCACACTGGTGCTGGCAAAACGAGCCCATATTTTGGTAACCCAACCATATTTTAATGGGTTGGGTGAGTGATTTTTTATATTGGTAAAATATGGGTTGATACCCATACTCGACCCATAAAAATATGGGTAAATTATGGATAAAATATGGAATAGCCAAATGAGTTAAAGCTTCCAACTTCTATTCACTTAAAATTTATAACATCACTAAAAATATTGTAACTTCTCTTCCTTTTTTATGTTTTATAAAATTAATTATTCTTCTCTATAATTGAAAAGGTGAAGCCTTTAGCCCTCCAAAAAATATATATTTTAAATGTATATTTCTTTTGTTAATTATATTTTTTATTTGTTTAATTTTATATTGGATAACAAATACTAGTGTAAAATAAGCAATCATGTATTAGTATTGATATTGCTTAGAGTGCAATAAACATGTTTTAGTCCTAAAATGCAAATATTCATTTACTTTGAAATTTAAAATATTTCCCCTTGTTATATAAATTTATTTTATATTGAAAAGTTATAGGATTTTTTTACTTTCATGATACAATAAAATTAAATAAAGTATTTTCAACACTTCTCATCCAGAAAAAATATTTCTCCATGTTGAATTCTTAAGTAGAGTACTATATATTCATGATAACATGGGTAAATATGAGTAAACTTGTATTTTACCCAACTCATTTGTTACACAATCCAATTTTACCCATATCAAATATGGGCGGGTTGAATTATTACCCATTTTCAACCACCCAAATTTGACCCAACTCGCTCATTTGCCACCACTACTTCACACCAAACGACCCCTTAATGTCCTAAAGAAACTCTAGCTCAAAGTTGGACTAAAAGCTTCCTTACCGATGAAATTTTTCATAAGTCTGAGCAAAGTTCAACTTCAAACAAGCATACCTCCTATAATATGAAGAGTTAAGTGGCCCAAACCCTATCAAATTGAAGGTATTTGAGTCTAGTTTCCAATGCAACAAATTGTTCGTACTTTGGTATTTGTAGGGGTGCGCATCGGTCGGTTCGATTCGGTTTTAGGTGTTATTGGTTTGGTTTATCGGTTTTCGGTTTGTAAATACTTCAAACCGATAACCAAACCAATAACATATTTCTTATCGGTTTTTGGTTAATCGGTTTATGGTACTTAACGGTTCGGTTTTCGGTTTAACCAATAAGGAAATACTTATATATATTATATACACAATAAGAAAATTTTCAAATAAACCATATGATTTTCCCAGCATTTGGCATGAAAGTAATAATAATAAAAGTAACAATCATTTTTGTTGCAAGTTTAGACACTAGACACATTCAAAGGAAAAAGTGTGAAAGTAACAATTGTTTAACCATTAACAAAAAGTGTGAAAGTAACTTCGTTTAACCATTAACAATAAGACTAGTAAATTTAGTATAGTCTTATTGGGTTATCGGTTTAACCATTAACAAAAATTATAAAACCGGAAACCGAACCAATAACCCAATAAAAAATTTGCAAAACCGTTTAAAAACCGTAAGCCCAATAACCCAATATCAATAAACCAATAGTGTTTTTTTCGGTTCGGTTTATTGGTTAAATCGGTTTTTGCACACCCCTAGGTATTTGTGCCATATTTTATGCCCATTTTACTCCTAGACACTACCTTGTTGCACGCCTAAGTTGTCAGTTGAAAGCAATGCAGTAACCTTATTGCACAAGACGTCAATTGCGTGATAGCACACATGAAAAAACATTATAATAGCACACCATGGTCGTGGTTCATCCCCCAAGTCCAAAAATTTCCCTAGAAAGAGAAGCTCTCAAGAATCCAACTTCTTTCAAGGTTCATCCATCATCCAAGTTAAGATTTGGCCATAGAATATTGATGGTTTCTTCATCTTAACACGATAATACCTCATATTCGTGCAATCCATAGATTTACAAGAAACTTCTTAAGAACTCAAGTGAAGGATTTTGCAAAGGTCTCTTTCTAGAGGTAAGACATTAGAAACGAACTCCCATGTAAACTTTAGCATTTCTAACATAAAATTATGAGATTTTAACAAGTCAAAGAACAAGTTCTTGATATTTTTCCACCAAAAACCAGGCACTAATAAAAAATTTAGAGCATTTAAGGTATTTAAGACTATCTCTACGTGTGGGAACGTTATTGTTCTTCCCCCGTGCTATATATTCATGTTAGCAAGTAGTCCCCTATGTAGTTAGGGTTCATGATGAAAACCTCATGTTTTAATCTTCTTGATATCCTTATAAACTCCAAGGACATCCTATGATATTGTCCATTCTAGACTCCTATGAATTCTATGAGTTTTACCATGAAATCACAACAATATGGAAAACATGATTTTCTTTCCAAAATATGGTATGATTAGATAGTGTATACATGAGAATATTCTCTAATCCCTTTAATTAGGCAGATAGGAACTTGAGTAATATTTTATTAGTTTCTTTTTTTTTTCTTTTTTTTTATGACAAGGGAAACCCGCAGCCGCTATCCTTTGGGTGCGAACAGGGTAAAACCCCTGCTCTTATGCAATAGCTCGCAAACCACATAGAAGAGGTAACATGCACTAGGCAAGCCTAGTGCGACGAGCTCGACCTAAAAGGCAAGCCCCTTGCTTTCGCTGGCAAGGGGTTTCGAACTTGAGAACTCCAACATGGAAGTCCCAAGCCCAAACCACTAGGCCACCCCGAAGGGTATTTTATTAGTTTCTTTGCTTATTTACATTATCTATAACAACTATTTAATCCCATCAACTTGAGGGAATAATTAATCAATTCAATTCCCAATATCTTTTATTCTTCCTCTATTTTCTCAAAACACAAATGCCAAACCTAATGTGAGAACTGTGAAGAGGGTACGGGGTAGGAGAGACCACACAAGAATTATGGTCAGTCCAAACAATCATTCGCATATGCAAATTACTTGAAAGTTCAGCCTTTCTAAAGAGCAAAATGCTCATATGGTACAATGCATTGTTTATTTATGCAACTTCTCTCATGTACCTACCCTTTCTCTTTTTCTATTTTCTTGCTGAAAATTATCTGATCAGCATAAATAACTGTGAAGGAATCAATCATGCATACTGTTCGGTTGTTTGTCAACAACATTTTCATGACTGATTTTGTTCTCCTCTGACTTCAACCACCTCCCCTTCAAAGCTGTTGTATAACCCCCTAAAAGATTCCAACAATGTCATAATCAGTTTAGTTGCAAAAATAAAGGCATGCAGGAAAAAAAAAAATGAAGCAAGAGGCAGGCTTGGCTTCATTACCCCTTCTTTTTCAATGGCAGTTACGGTTGGTCTCTTCTTTACTGTAACTCTCGAAGCATCTGGGAAATGTTCGACTTCATTATTTGATTTTTCCTCTCCAGCTATCTTTTTTTGCAAAACAAGCTTTGCTGGAACAGGCTGGATCACATCACATCCACAGTGGGTGTTAAGTTTCAGGCTAAACCACATATAAAGTTAAACAAGTTAACAGAGTTTTACCGTGTAATGGGCCACTGTTCCACCAAATGCCGCAATAGTAGGATCATCTGCATCATCACCTCGTACCTGCAAATGGGCACATGAGGAAAATATTAATACAACTAAGTAATTTACCAAATTAGAAAAGTGTAGCTAGGCTGAGTTCAACACTCAGAAAAGGTACATATCACTGGGGGTAGGGGTTGGGTGAGATAATATATCCGGGATATGGTTAAGTTAAGAAAAAAAAAATTAAAGGATGAAGTAGAGTTTAGGAAAATGTTTTCCATAATTTTGGAAGGGAAGTCATTTTCCTTAAATTTGAGGAAAATGAGTTGATCTGGAAAACATTTTCCAACCATTTAAGCCAACCAAACATGGGAAAATTGAAAATTGAACATTTTCCAGAAAATGTTTTCCTCCATACCAAACACACCCATAAGTTTGGAGAAGATGAATATATGAGGTCTCAATTTTCATATGGAGAAGTTAACTTTGCCAATCTTTCTTTCAATTAGCAATTGCACCAAAGGAGTCTTTCCTTTGGCTTATTAACCTGGAGAAAGCATTACAAACTTGGAGAAAGGCATTTAACCAATAATTTCACCTGTGATTCATATGCATCACGAACAGTTTTATCCAACTTGTTGTAGGTTTCTGAACCAGCAGTTGGAGCACCATCGAAATTCGCAAGCACAACCTGGTCTTTATACCTGGCAACATAGCATTAATTGTTCATGTTATCTCCAGCACCAAGAGGTTGCTATGATCTAATGACTCCATGAGTTTTTTTATAAAAGAAAAGGGAAAAGTGTCGTAAGAATTACTAATTTATTACCACTCCTGCTTTTGCTGTCTTCTTTTGATAAGGAACGTTATTTCATTGACTAGAAACAACAGAGCAAGAGAATTCATGTATATGAGAGATGGTAAGAAAAGATAGCAATCCCAGATGAGTACCAGATTGCTATCTTCTCTTACCATCTCGTATACATGAATTCTCTTGCTCTCTTTCTAGTCAATGAAATGACATTTCTTTTCAAAAGAAGACAGCAGAAGCAGGAGTGGTAATAAATTAGTGATTGCTTGTGACACTTTTTCAGAAGATGCATTGGTGGTTGACTTGATTATCATAAATACAAGTGAGAGAGGACTAGCACTATGGGGGGAAAAAAGGCAGAATCACATAGCGATCTTGTTCTGTTCTTGATTTCAAAATCTTTAGCTGCGCTGACGGATCTGGTAATTCATTTCTGAATCAACAGAGTACACATAAATTACAGAACATTTAGCAATCTCTAATATGTAAAACGAATAGTCTTAATGGACATCAGTAATTCAGATGGTTGGTGTATTTAGTTATTTGTTGAACAACATGATAGAAAAAAAGTCATTCAGAAAATTAAGTAAATACACCAACCATCTAAATTACTGATGTCCATTAAGTTTATCACCAACACACCCTATGGAATGACCATCTGCATTACGTCTAAAGTTCACCCTTAAATCTATGCTTATCATCTAATTGCAAAGTAAATCAAAGCATATAGTGGTCTGTAACATTGTAGATGTATTCTATTCTAAATTAAAGATTACTTACGACCAACTAGTATGCTTGAAAACTCAAATCTCGAACAAATAATAGATAATAGATAGAACAATTGGAACATATACTATGGCTGGAAATAAATACAGAATTAACGTCTTACTTCAGCTGCTGCTTCTTCAACCGGTTGTCTGTCATGTCACCCCTTACCAAAGGGGCAATGCTTCTGTCGGATCTAATTGACGCATGACCCTTCCTACCAGAAAATAATTTTTTGGTTTTCTCCACAATCCTATTCTGTGCTTCCCTTAATCGCTATTTACGTCTTACTTTTTCTAATTCCCTCTTCTTCCTCAACCTCCTCTCTTCCTCAGTTTCATTGGAATTTTTCACTGGCAATGGAGCTGGCTGATTAAATCGAACAGTCTGACAAGGTGGGGGAGGACACGAAGAAGGAGGAAGCAGACGGAACCGTGGCTGAGAAGGTGGCGGAGGACATGAAGGAGAAGGGAACGGAGGTGGATACCGATTTCTCAGCAGAGAGAACGGTGGGGGAAAAGACGAAGGGGGAGAGGGTGGAGGTGGGCACGGTGTCGGAGAAGGTGGAGGAGGAGGCGGATGTGGATACAAAGAATCCGGCGGAGGCGGAGGCGGCGATGAATATGGATTTCTCGGCAGGGGAGGAAGAGGAACGTACTGATATGAAAATGACGATCCTTCTTTCACCCGATAACCCTGATTCTGCCTGAATTGGGACATCGATGATGGCGGTGGCGGTGGCGTTGGCGGTGGCGGCGGCGGAGGAATCAACGCCGAGTGATATGGTGGAGGTTTTGGCTTAGATGTAGAAGTCTAGAAGCCGACACTTTTTGTTTTTGTTATAGTGATCTTGGAAGCTGAGCCCTTATAAGTGTCTATGAATTCCTACTATATCCGACAAAAAGTGTCAGGGTTTGTGGACTTCTACATTTAAGCCAATCCCTCTACCGTATCACTGGACGTTGATTCCTCCGTCTTCGTGTCGTCGCAGTATAATCTTTCGCTACCATCATCAATGTCTCAATTCAGATAGAATTGGGGTTACAGGTGAATAATGGGTCGTCATATTCATATCAATACATTCCTTCTCCTCCATTATCGAGAAATTCATATTCATCCCTTCATCTGAATTGAAAGGTATTTGAGAATTTCTTACTCTATTTTTTTGCTAGATTTTGAGTTTGGGATACCCAATTCTTGATTTTGAGAATGGAGATGTACAATTCTTGATTCGATTCCAACAATGGAAAACAACTAGACTAATTTCAATCTCATTTATAATTGATTAATGAATGATTTCACTTAATAACTTGGAAATTTATTTGATTTTTTCTTTTTTAATCTTAGAAAAGAGAGTTAATGGCGATTGAATTTTAAACCCTAATAATTTTAAAAAATATCGATTTGTGAAATCAAATAGTATTATTTATTTTTCTTTTGTCATCGTTGTTCCTGTTTTTTATCTTTTGTTTTGTTTGATGTTCATGGTAAGTGCAAAATATCCATCAATCAATTAATAAAATGAATATGTGCCACTGATACTTATCGGAATCGCCGGAAAAAAAAATCGCCGTCCATTTCTCAGATCAAAGAGTCGACAAAAATCATCCGTTTATGTTTCTCCTGCACTCAAGAATCACAAGAATTTTAAATTAGAATGAGATTCCAACTTTGGCTAGAAAAATATCAATCAATTAATAAAATAGATATGTACCACTAACTTTACCGAAATCGCTGTCTATTTCTAAGGTCAAAGAGTCGGCAAAAACCCTCTGTTTCTATTTCTCCAACACTCAACAACCACAAGAATCTTAAGTTAGAATAAGATTTCAACTTTGACAAAAAAAAATATCAATCAAATCAATTAATAAAATGAATTTGTACCACTGACACTTACTGAAATTGCCGGATAAAAACCACCATTCATTTCTAAGATCAAAGAGTCGGCAAAAACTTTCTGTTTATGATTCTCCTGCACTCAAGAACCACAAGAATCTTAAGTTAGAATGGGATTTCAACTCTTGGCTATTAGGGTTATGATAGAATAAATCGGAGAACTTATGAAACGGGTAGATATGTCATTGCAATAAAATAATTTCGTTGTGTCTTTTTTTTTTTCTTAAATTCTAAGAATGAGCCGGCTGATCCTAACATTATTTATAAGGAAACAAACGGTGATTTACCCGATGATGCCCATCAAAAAATGCAAGTTGAAGGAAAATACGAAAAAAGTGGTTCGTGAAAATATATGACTCAATAATGATAATATGTGAAGAAAAACTTATATTTAAACACCAAAAGATTAGCCAAGAATAAGAGATAATAACCAATAAATTTAAGAGCATAAATTTATAATCATTATATAAAATATAACTTCTTAATATTTTATTATTTTAAATTTTAAATTAAGTAACTTTAACTTCATTATTTTCTTTTTTAAAAAATCATAAAAGGGATCAACTCAAAATTTAAATATTCAAAAAAAATATAATTTACTTTTGATTTATTACTTTATATAGAAAACAAATAGATAAATGAAATTGTATTGTTGTCATTTATCTTCTTTATATAAGTGTTTCCTTACTTGCTTGAACTTATTTTTACCTGTGACAATTCTTAATATTTTATTATTTTCTTCTTAAATTTTAATACTTTTTACTTTAATTTTTTTAAAATCATAAAAATGATCAATTCAAAATCTGAATATTTAAAACATGATATTTTACTTTGGATTTATGCCATTTTTAGAAAATAAATAAATAAATAAAATTGTCATATTTGTTAACATTCACTTGTTCTAAGTATTTTCTTATTTGCATATAAATACATTTTTTGTATTTCCTTTTATAAAATTTACTCAGCTCTAACTTTATTTTTAATAAAAATTATAAAAAGAATCAACTCAAAATATGATGTTTTACTTTTGATTTGTGACTTTTTTTTTAAGAAAATAAGTAAATAAATGAAATTGTCATATTTGTTAACATTCACTTGTTATAAGTATTTCTTTATTTGCATAAATACATTTCTTATATTTCCTTTTAAAAAAATATTTGAGTAGCATTAACTTCATTTTCTTATAAAATCATAAAAAGAATCAACTCAAGATATTATGTTTTACTTTTAATTTATGACTTATTTAAGAAAATAAACAAATAAATAAAATTGTCATATCTATTGGTATTTATCAGTTATATAAGTAGAAAATAAATAATATTGTTATATTTATCCACATTTATTTGTTACAAGTATTTCTTTGCTGGCATAAATTATATTTACTTATAAAAAATCTTAATATTTTGTTAGTTTTAAAAAAAATTTAAGTAACTTTAAAGATCATAAAAAGGTTCAACTTTAAAAATAAAGTATTCAAACATGATATTTTATTTTTGACTTATGGCTTTTTAAAAAAAAAAATTGTCATATTTATCAATAATTATCTGTCACAGGTCTTTCTTTACTTGCATAAATTATTTTTACTTAAAATATTTTTTAATATTTTCTTTTTTTCTTTTTTAATGTAAGTAACTTTACATTTTTTTTTTTAAATCATAAAAAAGACCAACTCAAAACATGAATAATCAAAACATGATATTTTACTCTTGCCATATGATTTATTTTAGAAACTAAATAAATAATTGATGGATCAGATTAAATAAATAGTATGATATTGTCAAATTAGACTTTTAATTTTGCAACACTTTAATTATTAGTAGTGTCCATCATTGATTATAAAATTGACAAATAAATTAATATATTAAATAGTCAAAGATTTTATTATTATAAATCTGTTGACTAGATTATATAATTAATGATCAATTAAATTAGATTTTTAATTTTCAACACTTTAATTACTAAGCTGCATTTGGATTTTCAAATTTGCAACGCTTTAATTGTTTCGGAGTTAAATAAGTGAATGATGTAATAAACATCATATCATCTTTGTATTCATAGAACTTACCTCCCTTGGGGTTTTAAATATTATATTTACATGTGTTTATTTTGATATACTTATTTGACTAAATTAAATTACTCTCAAGTATAAACTTTTTGTTTAGTGTAAGGTTACCCCTTTATAGTTTAATTATTAGTTGCAAGTTTTTTCAACGGCTAAGATAACTTGGATAAAATGTGAAGAATCGATATCACATTTATATTGTTGTAATATTAATTTTTAAAATTTTGTGTGTAACTAAATTTTACGTTAAAAAATATGTTTTAACAAGTGTTGAGTTACGTGCTTATTTTTGCTTATAATGATACACTTAAAACAAGAACTATGGTGAGTCATCCTATTTTGTTTTTTCCACTGCTAAGATTGGGTAAAATGGAAAGAATTGAGAATCACAACTACATTGATGTAACATTATTTTTATTTTTGTGTAACTAAGTTTTAGGGAAAAGGGTCTGAATAATACTTTAACTTTGGTCGAAATTGTTGTTACGATACCAAATTTTATGGAGGACCTTTTACCTCTCTGCACTATCTAATAGTGTATTTTAAAGGTATATATGTGTCCACGTGGACACATTACTATTTAAAATGATGCAATATTTATGATGTCCATGTAGGGACATGTATACCTTTAAAATACACTATTAAATAGTATAGGGGTAGAAGGTCATTTCCAAAGTTTGGTATCGTAACAGTAATTTCGACCAAAGTTGAAGTATTTTTCACACCCTTTTCCCTAAGTTTTACATTACAAAATATGTTTTAACAAATGTTGAGTTACGTGTTTTTTTTTTAATGATACACTTAAACCATGAACCATGATGAGTCATCCTCTTTTTAATTTTATTTTTTTTACTGCTAAGATAATTTGGATAAAATGGAAAGAATTGATAATCACGGCTATATTGGTGTAATATTAATTTTTTAGAATTTTTTGTGTAGCTAATTTTTATGTTACAAAATATGTTTTAACTAGTGTTAGGTTCGTTTTTTTTTTTTGTAGTGCTACACTTAAAACGTGAACTGTGGTGAGTCATCCTATTTTTTTTTTTTTTTTTTTCCACCACTAAGATAATTTGGGTAAAATTGGAAGAATTGATAACCATAGCTATATTGTTGTGATATATTTTTTTTATTTTTTTTGTGTAACTAACTTTTACGTTATAAAATATGTTTTAACAAGTGTTGAATTACGTGTTTATTTTTGTTTGTAATGATACACTTAAAACGTGAACCATGGTGAGTCATCCTCTTTTTAATTTTATTTTTTTCACTGCTTAGATAACTTGGATTAAATGAAAAGAATTAAAAATCACGACTATATTGCATCTTCTTTTTTATTTTGTTTTTCACTACTAAGATAATTTGGGTAAAAAAAATGATAATCACGATTATATTGTTGTAATATTATTATTTTAAATTTTTGTGTAACTAATTTTTACGTTACAAAATATATTTTAAAATAAGCATTGAGTTACATGTTTATTTTTGTTTGTAATGATACACTTAAAACGTGAACCATGAAAAGTTATCCTCTTTTTTATTTTATTTTTCAACTACTAAAATAACTTGAATAAAACGAAAAGAATTGATAATCATGGCAATTGTTGTATTATTATTGTTGTTGTTGTTGTTATTATATTATAATAATAATAATAATAATTATTATTATTATTATTATTATTATTATGAGACTCTGCTGATAAGCACAGGTATTGAATTTCAACATTTTTCAGGATACAATACAAGTGAGAATATTTATAACTTCTCTAAAATGAATAT